AATTATTCTTTAGAAAAGTTTATTTTAAAAAATATTTGTAGAATAAAAGTAATAAACAGACTACTAGAACACACATTTCATAACCAAACAGACTGAAATAAAAGTAATAATAAGCACAATAGAATTATAGTAAATAAACAATGTTCAAATAAAAATGTATATCATTTACAAGCTCCCCCGGTTACCATTATGATAATATCTAGAATCATCATATAGATAATCTTCTTCGGTCTCATCTTCTCGGTTGTCTCCAGCTTGGCCTTCTCGATTGCCACCGCGACTGCCTCCTCCGCGACTGCCACCTCCGCGACTGCCACCTGCTTGGCTGCCTCCAGATGTTTGAAACAGGTTGTGAAAATTGATATCCTGAATAGAACCAAATGAAGGCAACCCGGTAGCAGAGTTGGTACGGAAATAACCGCCCATGTGCGGAACTTGAGGTGTCTGCTCAGGGTGCAGTACATACGGCTGAGGCTGAGGCTGATTCCGAATTCCGGCGCTGAGGATCCGTTCCATCTCTTCCAGCCGGGCCCTTGTTTCTTCTTCTTTTTTGCGTTGCTCCTCCAAGGTGCGCTGCTGCTCAGCCAAGGCCCGCTGCTGCTCCTCCATCTCCCGCTGCATTTGAGCGATACGCGGATCCTCTCCGCGCCTTGATCGGGAAGATGAAGCACCGCTGCGGTCGTACAAGATCCGTTGCCCCTCAGCCCCCATGCACGGGACCCGGCCCTTGTACACTCCAACTGCCTCAAAGATGGCATCATCCTCCACATCAGAATCAATCTCATCCTCCTGAGTCAAGCCTAATTCTGCCCGCCTCTTCTCAACATTTGTGTTATACTTTGACTACATGTACAAAAATTGTTAATTTAATGTTACTCAATTTGATTTTGAATGGAAATAAGTAACAAAATAGTGTTACTTACTTCGATTTCAGCGAGGCGGGGTGGCAGATCGGCATCGGACTCATCGCCGTGCTTTGTCCAGCAGTGCTTGATGACCTTGAGAATTGAGACCTTCTTCTTCTCAGGCCCCGACTACAATTTGGAAAAAAGGCTTAAGATCCATAATTAATTGTTAAAATAAAGGGTTGTAATTGTGTAAAGTTTTTTGAAAAATACTTACAAGATCTTCTTTATGTCTACTCTGAGGTTTGCGGCCCCCATGCCATTGGGTTTCTAAGGCTTTCTCGGACATCCGGTTTTTCTTACCGGATTGACTTCTTGCCAAGAAGTTTGGATCAGAAGACCAGTGACGGACGAGGTTAGCCCACACCTCATCCGAACACCATCCAGGCTTTACCCCGCTCGTTCGGGCACGCCTAAAAGTAGGACGAAGCCAATTTGAAATCCTAGCGTTATACGCTCTAAGAATAGCTGGACCTTGGGCTTCAGTCCATCGAAACCGACCCTTTATAAAAAACAAATAAATTAATTTATCTTTTATCAAATGTTACGTTAATACAATTACGCAGAGAAAATTCATTTTTTTTACCTTGAAAAGGTTCCACCAAAGTTCACGAACCTTGGGGTCTACTTCTGTGTATGCTGCCCAGTTTCCAAGAAAGTGTCCTCCAATTATGACTTTGATTTGGTCCAACACTTCTTGATCGCTTCAGAAAATTAATATTATTTATTTATAAAAGTTTTGATTACATTATGATACATTGAAAAAATTATTTCACGTTAGATAAAATTCATAGTTACTTACTTCGCAACCATGTGGGGCGTCACCCAAAGCGCATTTTCATTGTTGCGCTCAGCTTCGGTTAAGGGCACATAGTTTGGGCGGGTACGCGAGGTTGATTGTTCATTGCTCATCTAAAATATATTAATTTATATTTTTAAATGTTAGTCTAATCATTATAGAAGATCAAATTTTTATACATTTATCAATTGAAAATGTGTAAAACATATTAAACTGTGTGTAAGTTTAATATGAGGGGTGGTAATGTTAGTCACGGTCAAATCCGTGACTAATTTTCTTTTTAAATTTTCGTGACTAGTCCGTGACTAGTCCGTGACTAGACTAGTCACGGACCAAATCCGTGACTACGGTCCGTGACTAAACGAGTGTTTTTTGTAGTGAACGTATGGGCACTTTTATCACAAGTTATTATATTTTGTCCAATTTGATTGGTATTTTGAATAAAATTTGTTATTTTTACAAAACCATAAATTTTGTTCGACAAATAATTCGTACTTATGTAGTCGTACTAATTCAAAGGTTCATGTCACTATTTTCCGACCAACATGAGGTCTTTTTAATGTTTTACTTTATATATTTAACTTTTATCAAATTAAAATTTTCTTTTCAGTAACTAACAAGAAAATGTTGTCGTGTAGGTTTTCATCACTTCAGTTTATGTTTTTTGTCGTAACCGGCCGGTCGCTTACTTTAAGCAAAACTGAAGGGGTTTCAGGTTTTATAGGGTATTTATGGATAAGTACTTTTAATGACCACGTTAATTACTTGGATCATTCAATTCATACGTGTTACATCCACACCCAAACGAGATATTAAAGATACTTAGGGTCTGATTGCAACAACTTCTGCTTTTAAAAAAGTGTTTTTTTATTGAAATGGAGAGAAGTGATTAAATAAAAGTTGATAGTGTTTGAGAAAAAAGTGATTTTGAAAAGTAAAAGTGAGTAGTGTTTGGTAAAATAAGTGCTTTTTGTGTAATAGAAAAAGTAAAATCACTTTTGACACGGAAGCCGAGAAAAATAAAAGTTATAGTGTTTGGAAAAATAAGTGTTTTTTAAAGTCAAAAGCTGAGAAGTGTTTTTTTAAAAGGTGTTGCAAACCAACCCTTAGAATGTACTCCGTATGTTTTTAATTGGACCATGTTCAATTTCAGATTAGACCAGCGTACGTAGGTAAGTAGCTCATTCATTTCATCTAGTTCATTTCATTCAGTTTAAAGGGTTTAATTCAATGATTTCATTTCAGTTTCCATTTATGACCATGATACTTGTTGTTCATTGTTGAGTGTCGATTTCTTTCCGGCTCAGGTCTCCAACCCTTTTGCTATACTCTCACACACCACTCTAGGCTAGACCACAACACAACTCCAAGCTTCTTCTCTACCACTAAGGTATTCTCTCTCACACTCTCACACAAAGGAAATGGAGAAGAAGAAGAAGGGCACTGCTCTCTCTAAGATTCACGCAGGCTCCTTTCACAAGGAAGAAGAAAGCTACTAAATAATAGGCTGGCAGACAAGAGGACACTCACGGGTGATGCAAAGACAAGGAAAGACTGCAGCAGACAACTCAAGATGGGGTCACTCCACATAAGGCAATAGCCATATTATTGGTTAGGAAAGATTCAAACGAGAAGTGCCAAAGTGGGAGTAAACATGGGGTGCAAGTCAATAATAAAGTGGAAGGGAGGCCTTGGTAGGACCAATACCTCCAACATTCTCCACCTTATTGGTCCTAGGTGGTGTAGAGTAGCAATACAAAGTTGTGAGGAGACTCATCATCGCCGGACCATTACAAGTACATCATTGCGATCATACAAGTAATAGATGAGAACCAAAGTTCCCTTTCGGACCAAGCTTACCGTGCAAACCCACTTCACGATGGACTGAACTCTACCAATCGGTCCTCGAGTTCAGAACCAAAACCATCACAAAACTATTAACAAGCACAACACATGTTAATAGACCACACAAGCAAGCATCCGGGAGAAGTTGGGGATTCCAACTAATCCAACAACCACACATAACAAGCACAAAGAAAATAAAAGAAACAATATTATTTCTATAACTAGCACAGGTAGAGCTCACATAATCACTTGGTATCACATATTCAAAACACAAAGAAAATAGCATACCAAATATCACAAAGATTTTAATTAAAAGAGAATTAAGCACATTTAAAGCAAACTCAGAGGAAATATAGTCAAACACATTGCACATATAATTTCTCACATGCTTCCTAATGTCTCTATCTCTAATAACATGGCAATCACGCAACTCAAGCATATTGCACACAACATTCATATCATGCTCCACCTTAACAGAAATATTATTTTCTTTATTTTCACCATGAAAATCATTTTCATCCACGAATTTGGGTGCGGTTTCAACAAGTAAATCAGAATGAACATCAGGCAAATGCTCCACCTCATTTGGAGCAACATCAGGAGAAACAAGCAGGCAAGGAAATTCATTTTCAACAAAAATGACATTTCTACTCATCAACACATTGAAGCAAGTTTCACTCCTACGCCAAAGCCTATAACCTTTCATGCAATCATGATATCCTAAGAAAACATATTCCTTAGTCCTAGGTTCAGATTTATCATTCACACGATTCACGTAAGCAGCACAACCAAACACTCTCAAATTTGGCAAGTTAAGTGGTTTGCCCATGAACACAGATTCAGGGCATTTCCCTCCTAAGGGAACAGACGGGGACAGATTAATCAAATCAACAGCATAACAAATAGCTTCCCCCCAGAACTTATTAGAGAGCCCAGATGAAGCTAACAAAGCCCTCACCCTCTCTAATAAAGTTCTAACCATCCTCTCAGCAACCCCATCCGGTTGGGGTGTGGAGGGAACAGATTTATGCATAGAAATACCCCAAGTATCACATAAATCACCAAGCTGACTATCACAGAAATCAAAACTGACAGTGGTCCTTAAAAAATTAATTTTCTTACCGGTTTGTTTTTCAACAAGGGTTTTCCAGTTTTTAAACTTATCAAAAACTTCAGATTTATTCTCAATCAACAAAACCCACACTTTCTTTGAAAAATCATCAATCAACGTCAGAAAATAATTTTTCCCACCATGAGTGGAAACACTATAAGGACCCCACAAGTCAGCATGAATACAATCAAGCACATTAGTACATTTAGGCAGATCAGGAAAACCAACTCTAGATTGTTTTCCTAGCACACAGGGTTGCACACAATTCACAGAATCAAATACGGGTTCAGCATGACAAACATACAAGTTGTTTTTCATCTCAGCTTTGAAAACAACTAAACAACCCTTCACAACTTTCATGATTCCCTTTCCCCATTTTCCCTTCAAACCATCATTTTCAAGAGATGCACAAGATAGCAAATTACAGCATAGCTCAGGAACATGCCTAACATTCTTCAAAGTAAGCACATAACCAGAAGAAAACCTAAGGCATACATCTCCTATTCCTAGCACATTGCATTTCTTCTCATTTGCTAAAGACACAAAGCCATGCTCAATCTCTCTATAGTTTGAAAACACATTTTTCAAAGGGGACATGTGAAAACTACAACCAGAATCTACCACCCAATCTGATTTACCCAAAGAATCAGATATCACAGAACTCAAGTAGTCATAATCACATAGATTTGTCATAAAAACATCACCTAAATCATCTTCACACGTAGTCAAATTAGCATGCTCACTATGCTCATTTTTCCTAGATTTAGGACAGTATCTTATGAAATGACCAGGTTCATGACAATAATAGCAACGTCTCGAATTAGACCTAGACTTAGATCTATGTCGTCTACTATTATTTTCTCTACCCCTCACATGCATAACTTCCTCGGATTTTCTACCCTCACCCATCTGTTTTAAATCTAATTCCTTACTCTTAAGACCATTAACCACAATGTCAAGAGTCACATTATCTCTACCATACTTAATAGCAGATTTCACATCACCAAAGGAATCAGGAATAGCATTTAAAAGAGCAATAGGGGAATAATCATCTATATGCTTATCACCACACAACTTAATATCCGAAATAAGTTTGGTAAAAACATCTAGATTTTCTTCAATATCTATAGACATATCTAGTCTAAATTTGAAGAATTTCTCAAGTAAAAATATCCGGTTAGGCAAAGAGGTCTCAGTATACAGTTCATTCAATTTATCCCACAGAATTTTAGCACTCTCTAAAATTCCAACTTTTCTAATCACAGAGTCAGATAAGTTCAAATAAATCACAGAACATGCATTTTCATTCATTTCAGCCCTTTTCTCTTCTGTGTCAGAAATTAAATAGGTTTCGCCAACTGCTTTAAAACATTTTTGTTGTATTAAAATACATTTAATTTTTTGCTTCCAAATGCTAAAATCAGATTTTCCATTAAATGGAGCCATACCATACTGATTATAAGCAGACATTTTCACAGAGAAAAATAAACAACAAAAGAAAATGTAAATTTTGCTGAAAAACAATTTAAATATTTATAAGGCTACAACTATACGGAGCAACTAGCACGAACACGTGGGGAGTATTAATGAGCACCAAACTCAACTTCAAATCCCTTGTTCTTCCGTATAGGCACAAATAAATAATAAATTTTCAGCACAGAACAACACAACAATTCAAACAATTTTAACAGCAATGATAAACCTAAAATATAATTTCTACACAAATAAAAGATTAAATCACTACAAAAGCGATAAAAAGGGATAAAAGTCAATTTTACCGGAGCGAAACCCTAGGAGAGGCGTTTCGACCTTACCCACCCAATTTAAAAAAAAATTGGGATTTTCAGAAGGTTTGATTGGAGTGGACTGCCCGTTGACTATCTGTTGACCGAGTTTTCCCTTTGCTCCAGGTCCAGCTCAATTTCAACCCACCAAGTCCAAGTTGTAGCCCACTAGGCAGTACCAGCTACAAGTGCTCCAGGGAAAGTGCGTAGCAAATAGCAAGTGTCCTGGTCTTGACAGCACTCCAACTGGCTTCCTTTAGCAATACAGCAGCCCAAGGTCCAGCGCCCAAGGTCCCAGCCCAAACTCAGCCTAGCAATGACCAGCCCCAAAAAATCCAGCAAGGTACAGTTCCGTTCCAGAAACTTCAGTGTCCATGTGCGTCCAAATTTGACCGGTGCAAGTTTGCTTCAATTCGGCCACCACGTTCTGCGGCTCGCGTACTGCTACAGGTTCCTAGCTCGCAGACGAAAAGCTTCAGATCCGAAATCCAGGCCTCAATCTCCAGCGACGAAGGAGCTTAACAACCCAGCTACGAACGGATTTCGACGAGATCTCTGCAACGACAACCTGCTGTGACGGAAGGCGGCGGCTCCAGCGACGAACTTATCGGCTAGCAATGACCTCCTTGCGATGGCAACCTCCAACGATTTGCATCAAGCTCCGCGACCAGACCTCTGCTTCAGCGTCCAGGCTTCCAGCAGCTGCACTGCTGCAGTACTCGTCCAGCCCAAAGAACCAGTCAACCAAGCAGCGTAGCTCTAGCACTTCACGAACAAACAGGTCGCATCGAACCAGCTTCCAGGCCCGACCTCGAATCCAGCGACTCCAAGTCACGAATCAAGCTGGTACCCGGCGACGACCTCTGGTGATGATGGACGGCGGAAGGCGTCCGGTGGTGGCGAGCGGCGAACTAACTCCGGTGATGACGAAGCTTCAACTCCCAGCGGCGGCGGAATTCCAGGTGGCGGCTGAACTAGATTCGAGGCGAACGGGAAGCAACGGCACCAAGTCAAGCTTCAGCGAACGACCGGTGACCTCCAGAACCTGAAATCGACAAGCGGCGGCGGACGGCGGCGGACGGCGGCGGAGACTTTCCAGGTGGCGGAATCCGGCGAAATCGACAGCGACGACAACACAAGCTCTGATACCACTGTTGAGTGTCGATTTCTTTCCGGCTCAGGTCTCCAACCCTTTTGCTATACTCTCACACACCACTCTAGGCTAGACCACAACACAACTCCAAGCTTCTTCTCTACCACTAAGGTATTCTCTCTCACACTCTCACACAAAGGAAATGGAGAAGAAGAAGAAGGGCACTGCTCTCTCTAAGATTCACGCAGGCTCCTTTCACAAGGAAGAAGAAAGCTACTAAATAATAGGCTGGCAGACAAGAGGACACTCACGGGTGATGCAAAGACAAGGAAAGACTGCAGCAGACAACTCAAGATGGGGTCACTCCACATAAGGCAATAGCCATATTATTGGTTAGGAAAGATTCAAACGAGAAGTGCCAAAGTGGGAGTAAACATGGGGTGCAAGTCAATAATAAAGTGGAAGGGAGGCCTTGGTAGGACCAATACCTCCAACATTCATAGTTCATGGTTTGCCCAGAAAAGCAGTGTTAATTGGATGCAAAAGTTCTATACATCGAAGTTTGAACTAGCCCCCTTAAAAATATGGTGTAATACGGAGTACGTTTCCATTTTAATTTTCTAAGTTTGATTGGCAGTTAATTAAAAAAGTAAAAACTGTTTGAGTAAAATTAGTCGTACGAATAATGGAATGTTTTTTTAATATTTCATCGTTTGAATGCCAAAATCTTATCTGTCTACGCACGGGCGTATGTAGAGTGGGGCGGAGATGACTGCCCCCTACCACAACCCAATCCCAATATATATACTCCCTCCGTCCCTTATAACTTTGCCAACTTTCTTTTTTTGGATGTCCCATTAACTTTGCCACTTTCTCATTTAAGTAAAGAATTTGTGATTCCTATTAATTCTCTCTCCTCTGCACAAATCTCAACCACACAATGTTTACTTTATTAATCCACGTGCCGGTCAAACTTGGCAAAGTTATTAGGGACGGAGGGAGTACTACGTATTTAATTTTTTGTTTATATCCCAATCCATACATATGATGAGTTAGAAGTTGATGTATAGATAGAGGGATACGGTTAGTGGCACAAAATAATTAAGAAATGAGAAATTTTCCGAAATAGAAGTAAAATTTAAGTAGAAGATCGACCCATATCCAAATTGAAAGCAAGGGACCAAGGGAGAACAGATAACGACGATGGATCCGGAACCTCTGCCTTGCTTTGCAGCAAGGTAGGGTGCCCGGCCTATTAGGGGCGTCGGATCAAGAAACCAACGGCAACCGATCTTGGTATATAGTTCTTATGACCGAGTCTCATCGTCGTTGGATTCAGATCCTCTGCCGCACGGCAGAGGTGCCTTGCGGCCACGGACGGCCAGATGTGGAAGGAGGCGCCTCGAGATGCGGTCATAAGAACTATATACCCGATTTTATTCTCATTCAATTTAGTATATACGGAGTAGTTTAAATCTATTTTCCTTTCATCTAAATTCGTGCACGTTCCCAAATCCATTCATACAAAGTTGTCTAGTTAGTGTTATAGCTTAAACGGCTAGGGGCGATACTTAGATAATTATCGGATTATTATGTTGGAATAAGAAGAGTTCAAATACTTGGATAGTGCGATTGATCATTGATGGAACCTAACAGATACAAACAATTCCCACACCGTGTGAAAATGTCACTGTTAAGTTTGTCCATCACAAATCAAATTTGTGTTTGCTGGACATGCAAGTTCGGGCTAAAGGCTTGGGCTTTCATAGACAACAAGAATGGTTTGGGCTATCAAAGACTTGATCGTTGCGGGCTATAAAAGTTTGGGCTTTAAAACATTGTAAATGAAATCTCCTGTAGGACCTTCATCTTTTTTTCATTCAGTTTTGGACAAAAATAATTAATTAAATTTTTATAAGGAATGTTATTTTATGCATAATTATGCAATTAAAAAAAATACATTTTCGGTATTTTTTGGAAGAGGGAGACTTAAATTGATATCGCAGCATTAACATTAAGATAGAGAGTTAAACGACAAAATAGCAATATAGATCCTATAATGAGCATAAATGAACGAATGACAACTAAAGCAGGTCTCTCATCTCCAATCTTAATGCAAGAATCTTAAAATAATAAAAGTAACCAACAAAAAAATTAGCAGTCTGATCATGAAAAATAAATCGCAAGCAAACAATAAAATTAAAAAGATGTTTCCAAACCCTAGACTCTCCTTCACTCCATGGCGGCGGTTCAGGAGGGGGATGATCCAGCATTACTGTAGATTCTTCCTCACCTTGTCCCTTATTCGTCCTCGAAGAAAGATCCGTCTCAGTTTCTGGCCCCACACTTCGTCCATGATCTTTGGCCGCCGGAGACCAATAATCCATCTTCCGTCCCTGCACAACCTTCGATCGCCAGAGACCAAACAACCTCTTCCTCCCGTTTAATCTTGCCAAAGCAAAGGAAGAAAAACAACCGTACAATTGATGGCGGAAGGAGAAACCTTGTGTGAGTATGCCCGCATGCGGTAGCCGCTCCTCGTTAAAAACAATAGCGGAGGAAAAAACCCTAGCGATGGAAACCCACCCTAGAGAGAGAAAGAGACGAGAGGCAATTCTATTAAATTTTAGACAAAACACAAGTCTTTAGATATACACATTTCGGTGTTAAAAAATAAAGAATTTGTTCCTTGTTTTTTTTTTTACTTTTCAGTTTTAATAAAAAAAATAAAAATGATTTCATGCAGTATCGAGTTACTTTTGATTGTTTCTAAGCAGGTCTAGTAAACAATCTAGTAAACAGGTTTCGGGTAAGTCCAGGCTTTTACACAGGCCAGGCCCAGGCCACAAAAAACATGCCTTTAATAAGTAATAGGCCAGACTCAGGCCTATACATTCTAAAATAGGCCCGACATGTTTAGGCAAAAGTCTGGTCTAGTCTGGTCTGTTTAATGAAAAGAAACATGTTTTAAGTAACATTTTATTACTACCTGTTTTATGAAAAGAAACATTTTCCTTGGTAAAGAAAACAATTAATTAAATAATTAAAATACTTATATGTTAATATAACATTTCACCCGGTAAACAATATATTTAGGAAGATAATTAAATTACTACTTTTCACAAAACACGGGGTGAATAATATTTATTTTATTTTATAAATAACATTTTCCTCTAGCTTCTTGGTGACCCTTTAGAATCTATTGTTCTTATTTTTAAAGATCCTAATAATTTTCTTATTATTATTATTTTTGAAGTTTGATGATGAATTGTGAGATGTAAGCCACAAGTGAAGTGAACCTTAGAAGAAAAGGTGACGCAGCTGAAAGAGCATGAACGAAGCATCCAAGCAAGTAGTGGAGTCCATGTCTTGTTCTATGTGACATCAGCTCTCGGAGATTCTTGGTAGGGGTACGACCCAACTAAATTGTTCTGATGTTCTGATTGTAGTTGTTCTGTGCTATGGCAGTTCATTCTCGGACACTTGCGCTCCGGATTGTTTTGTCTCCCTTGGTGTGTGGAGTAATTTTGGTGTCCCGACCAGCTTTATCTAGTCAGGAGTTATTGTCTGCCTTCTTTTAGGTTGCGTAGAAAATGGTAGAGCTCGTC